GTGGGTTTTTTCTCTTTTCTTGGAGTTCTCCTGAGTTCTGCATGTACTGTGGAAATTAATCTTATAGAACTGTAGCTGGGAGATTTATTCACCATAGCAACTATTGTCAAGTCAAGTTCTATTCATAAATATGAAATTGAGCACATACCATCCCAGCAGCCCCTGCAACCTTTAATTAGCTATGGAGCACCAAAAATTATACCTAAATTATCCCTAGTTATTTAAACCATTTCTAAAAGTTCTCAACTATTTCTCTAAAAAATTCCAACCCAAGAAATATATCCTTTGCTATTCATGGTATTGATTTTTTTTCAAATCTAATTCTTTGAAATAAATTATATTGTGGATTACATTCTGTGGAGCACATCTAATCCTATATACATATGACTTTTTATTTATTCAAAGTTGTAAATATTCTCTTGCGTGCTAGGGCAAATCTGAGCTATGCTGATCTTAAGGAGATTGCAAGTGTAGAGTGGGCAACCTACTCCCGAGTAAGCCCACAACCATCAGTGGGGCACTGTGCACATGTTCATTTATGTTTGGTCATTGGTTTGTTTTGGAAGTAAATGAGGTCAGCGTGTCAAATCCTAAAAAGAACAAATTTACTGGTACAAGACAAATTTGCGTTGGAAACACAAATTTGGTGATAGTAAAGATCACAATTTTAGATGGGATGCATTCAAGCAGAGCCATAAGAAGCTTCAAAAACCACCATGTGGATATTTTCCCAAGAAAATCTAAACTCATAAACCAAAATGCATGAATGAGATAATTTTCAAAACCATAAAGGGGAAAACACTAAATGAAATTCAAAGCACATATATTTTTATTATAAAACTGGAACATATTTGGAAAAAAGTTTGACATGGGAAGCAAAAAGAGAAATAGTTTACAAAAAGGGTATTTACACAGAAGTACCTTTGTATGTCTTAAAAGCTTTATGTACATATTTATACCATATGAATTATCAGTATGTGAAACAAACATTTGTAGATGAATGCACACTTCTTAGAAGAAGGCAAATGGCAAATAAATATTCGAAAAAATGTTCAACATCATTTGTCATTCCATAAGTGCAAATTAAAACAACACTGAGATGCCATCTCACTCCCAGAAAGAGTGGCTATCGTTAAGAAGGTAAGCAATAATAAATGCAGGTGGGACTGTGGAGGAAAAGGGAACTTATTCACGACTGGTAGAAGGGTAGACGTGTACACCACTATGGGAATCAGTGTGGATAGTCCTCAAAAAACTAAGAATACTGGCCCCATTCAATCCAGCTGTATAAGTGTACCTATGCTTAGAGCAATGCAATTTGTTATACATAAATCTTGGATACAACCCAAATTCTCATCAACTGAGCAATGGATTAAAATGATGCACT